TGTGTGTGTGTGTGGCCAGCTCAGTCCACCAGGGGGCGGGGCTGGCTGGCATGTGGTGCTGGGGGATCGAACTGTGGTCCCTGTGCTTTGCCAAGCTTGTTCCAAGTAGGTGCTTTAGACCACTGAGCCATCTCTCCAGCCCCTGCCTATAATATTTTTAATCTAACTCAGCTGCCTGCAACATTTTCCCTCTGAAAAAGTAACCCAGACTGCCGTGAGGGTGTATGGGTGATGACCACTTTGGCTACTTCAGGCTGAAATGCGTCGCAGTTGTTGACCGGCAGTCAGACACTCTTCAGAGCTTCTACCTAAAGTCCCTCAGTAGACACCAAGCATTTTTATCTTGGGCAGTCAGAATGGCTTTAAATCTGGAGGAAGCAAAGCCAAAGAAACAATTAAGCATGCATAACACTAGTCAAAACATATTGTAGATCAGTTAGCAGATATCTCTTTCATGTGGGGTTTAATTCCCTTTCTCTTCTATGGCCATTGGGTACTGGGGCACATGAATTGCTGGACCTATGGAAAACACTGAGTACTTTCTGGTTGACAAGTAGGGCCACTGTCTGGGTAACTGACAAATTTGCATGAGCATCTATTAAAAGCTTAACAGGTTTTCTCCTTATATTTGCTGTTAACATGGCCGAGAGGGGAAGACCCATGACCACTTCAATCTGAAACTTCCTCTGACTCCATCATGAACACTTTCTTTTTTTTCTTCTGCAACAGCTTTGGACATTTTTTGTTTGAAATGTCCCTTCTCTCTGTCTGGGTCCAGGGAAGTGTAACTTTTTCCTTTTTCCTGACTGGCCTTCTTTTCTGTAGGCTGCTAGTATCAACACTCTCATTTTCCATCTATAATTCCATTCTGCATCCTTTTTACTATGAAACACCACAACTCAGAGAAATTTATTCCTGCAAACCCTTCTAACTTCTGCAGCTTGTGTCAGATATCTGGGGTCCACTGAATAAGGTACAGCTTCTGGGTTTTAAGGCCTCTTGCAGGTAGCCAGGCCCAAGGAACATGAGGATAGCTTTTCTTGGGGCTGGGGAGACAGCTCAGTGAAATAAGCACTTCTCTGGCAAGCGCAAGGACCAGAGTTCGATCCCTGGTTCGGGTGGCAGGCAGAACAAGCGGGTCCTGAGGGTGATAGTTGGGGGTCACAGCCGCTTATCATTTGGAACTGCCAGTGTGACCATGTGGATTGGCCGGTCATACGGGGACGGTGTGTGGAACAGCAACCCTTGAGCCATTTCAGAGGGTCATGAACAAGATCAATCCAAGCCTGAATGTAAGCGACCTGGTCAGGGTGACCCAGATTTCCAAAGATGACTCTCTGGACTGGTAAGAACTTACAGACGGCTCAGAGGTTCAAATGATAATATTTGTAAGTTTTTGGAGACCTCCCTGGGGCCAGAAAGTCTCCCCTAGGGAAATGGTTTCAGAAAACTCTGGTTCCTCAGATTGATCCCCAGTAAAGGGGATCCCGGAGGAGCCCCCAAATGTTACAGGTCACTCAGAATAGGAACCAGATCAGCCAGATTGGAATTTGGAAAGCCGTTTATTACTGAGCTCAGGGCCCCTGGTTTGCTCTCACGCAGGAGAGGACTGAAAGGAGCTAAATAAGGATTAAGTTGCAAACTATAATTAACTATCTGACTTTAACTAACTTTAAAGTCTTCAGTTCACAAGCTGTATTAGCCCCTAACTATCTGAAGATGGTGTTCTTGTGAGAAAACTAAGACAAATGGCAAGTCCTTTTTAGGTTTTCAATTTACTTTGCTGAGATTCATCAGAAGATTGACTATCTATGGTAGCTATAACCTTATGAAACGTATTTCTTAAATAAAACTTGAAAAATTGAAATTACTCCTAGAGCAGTGGACTTCAAAACAGATACTGTGTTACAAAGTGTGGAAAAATAATCTTAACTGTTCCTCTTGTTGAGGTCTTGGATAAACAGGTATATTATCAGTGAAAAATAATAATTTGAAATGGATCTTTTTTCCTGAGTGAGCAGTTGTTTTCCAAGACAGGCTAAAATCTTCAGTAATCTTGTTCTCACTCTTGATCTCAACAGACTACAAGGACTCTGGGATTTTCAGAATGGTGAATGAGCATTGACTTTAAAGTCTTCAGTTCACAAGCTGTATTAGCCCCTCAAAAGAGCCTGTCCTTTGAAGCTTTGAAAACAGGCATTGACTTCTTTGTGAAATTCCTAGGTGGCGCCTTCTTCTAATAGAAAGCTGTGAGGGCCGGTGAGATAGCTCAGCAGACTAAGCTCCTACTTTGACAAACTTAGGGACCAGGGTTTGATCCCTGGTCCCACATGCCATGCCAGCCCCGCCCCCGTGGCATGCTGAGCTGGTGACCAAATCTAGGCAGGGTGGCACATGCCTCTAATCCCATTGCTTGGGAGTAGGGTCACTATGAGTCCAAGCTGTGTAGTGAGACCCTGTACCAAATACATTAAAAAAAAAAAAAAAAAAAAAAAAAAAAAAAAAAAAAAAAAAAAAAGAAAAAAGAGGAAAGAAAGAAACAAAGCTGTTTGATCTGCATTGAAAATCTGTTGTGGCTGGGGATGGTGGTCCTGCCTATAATCCCAGCACTCAGGAGGCAGAGGCAGAAGGATCACCATGAATTTGAGGCCAGTGTGGGCTACATATTGAGTTCAAGCTTAGCCTGTACTACAGAATTAGAGCCTGTTTCACCACCCTTGATAGAAAAATCTTTAGTTTAGCTATTTTTGTCACTTACCTTAGATCTGCTGAACAGCTTGCTCTAGCTTCTATATCGATACTTGGTGCTTCACCTTGCACTTTGTGTTTATGTAACTGACTTATTTCCTTAAACCTCATGAACCAACTTTGGCTAATTTCAAACTTTTGTTGTGCAATGTCCTCATCACTTTCAGCCTTCACAAAGTTAAGGGAACTTAAAGGCTTGCTCTGGTTTAGGCTTTAGTTGAAGGGAATTTGTGGTAGTTTTGATCTTCTGTGCTGCAGATGACTGAAATGTTCTTTGTATCAGCAGTAATGTTTTTAAAAAAAGAAACAAAAAAAGGTAATGTTTTATTTTCTTTTGCATTTGCTTGCAAGAGTAGCACTTTTCAACTCCTCCAAGAACTTTTCATTCACAGCTTAGCTAAGAAAAGGAAGAGGTGTGGCTTTCAACTTGTCACTGAAAGCTTTTGGTTTTTACTGTGCCTTTCTCACTAAACTTAATGTAATGTTTGATGTAAAGTGAGAGACTTTGGACTTGTCCTTTCCTTTAACACTTCATGACCACATGTAAAATGATTTCTGTTTATTTCTTT